TACTTCGGCGCCGGAAACGCACTGATGTGGGGTTGACGGGACGGGGGAGCCCGCCTGGTGCTGGCTGTGGGCGGAAATGGTCTGTCCGTCACAAGTCGTAAATTGTTCTCGCGCACAGAGTTCCGTCCTGACATTTACGACATGAGTGACAAGGCACACATGGAGCTACTCTGGCAGAAATGGTGCAAATAAAGATAGGAATACATTTAAACTACTACAGCTTAATAGATTATTTTCCGAATGTAAAACACCTGGCAGGTGAGGATCATATACCTTTTTCTGTACTTCTTTCCCCCCCTAACATCCCCGGCCTCCTCTCAGGGTATAGACCTTGTAACGTGCATAGGTTACCAGTCTCCAAGCAGATGTAGGGTCCGCCTTCTTTACGCGTGTTTGCGGCGTAGATATTTTTTTTCTACTGAAAGATCTACACATGCTTTATGACGGGCTCCTACATGTTTCTCCGTGTTCATTTTGGTTAGGCCATGTTGATTTGACTATATGGATGACATCCGCGCGCGCATGAATTTTTGGCCGTTTCCGAAATAAAAAGTTTTCAACCATACTGTAAATCGTACAAAACAGTTGCAAAATGAGCAAATATATACCGTAAGTTGCAAAAAAAATATTGGAAAAGGATACCAATGTCGTAGAGTGACAAAATTCAACGAGAAAAGACGAAAATGTAAAGAAATGAATTTGAGTAGATTATTCCCATACTCTGTGTCTTTTGTTCAACCTTCATGACCACGTAGATATCATAATGAAAGCTATTATTTTGCCAAACGTTTTTTTTTCGCACGATCGCATCAGTATTGGGGTTCCCTGTGGAATTCATCCATATAATCAAATCAACATGATGTACATTAAGTCCGGGTATATAAATAACATCAACTTCATCGTGTTGTTTGGTATTGCGGTACTGTTATGTATGTTTATCGATACCGGAACTATTACTTATCAAACAGGAAAAACGTTAGCCATAATCCCATTAGAATAACACGGGCAAATCGTTTAGCCTGGAGTCCAGTCTTGCTAGCTGTAGTCCGCTCCCCAACATTCGCTACCCCGCCTGAGTAAGGAAAGACTACGATGAGTTTGCAAAAAAAACGTCCTTGAATAGACTGCATTGTTTTGGGTTCCGCTCCGTCAGCAGTGAACAGATGTGACGTCATCTCGTACAAAGTTTTCCCTCTCCTGTGACCGGCGCGGTGAGGTGTGGTCTGGCGTGTGTACTTTGAAAACAAAGAGACACGGAAAACAAGGCCAGGCTGCCATGACTACCCCGAACATGGCGACTACAACGGGTGGAAAGAAGAAATCGGCAACGGTGTCCGTCCGTATAGACTACAAGTAAGTGGACTACTCCCTCCCTGGTAAAATTATTCTGCAGCGGATGACCGGTGGTAATACTGAGCTCTTGCAGTGTCTTGCACGACCGGTGATTAGCTATCTACTTCCCTAAACAAAAAGTAATCAATAACTATTAAATGTGACCCCCACCCCCCCGGTCAGATGCGCAACCATAGAACTAGTCCTTTAACTAAAGACTAGTCACATCCTTCGTGAAGGGCAATTAATCATGGCGTTGTATTCATACTTTAACAACTCCTAATTCCAACCAATGCTTGTCTTCCATCGGTAGTATGGCATGAGGTTTCCCGGGACGCTTCCGGGACCTGGCCCGGCAACTCCGCCAGGCCATCCCGGGAGCAGAGGTGGTGGGCAAGATCATCAGCAAGCCAGGTGAGATGTCAGGATGATGAGGATTACATCTGCACTGCATGTACTCAGCACCGAGCGCTAATGTCATTTATATTTTAAAATTCATCACGAACATACTCGTTTCTTTCTAGAACGCAACAGTACTTTGCAAATAATCGGAAGTTGAACGACCACTTCAAGAAGCACTAGACTATGTACTAGTATATGAACAAGGATTTTGAACCCCCTTGATATAAAAGGTTTTCCCTCCTCTTGACGAGAAAGTTTCACGTGTGATGTAACATGTAACGTTACATGTCCTTTTTGTATTACCCTCGCATTTCTGTCTCTTCAGGTGCCTTTGAGGTGTACGTGAACAAGAAGCTGTACTATTCTATGTTGGAGAAGAGGCAATTCCCACACATCAACCAGGTACTGGGATAATTAAGACGTTTGAAGGGAGTGAGATGTTACAGTGCAGGTGGACCCAAATACCTTCGAGCAGCCACCACAACCTCCTGTATTGCGTGCATGGGACGTACTGTAAACGCTTGCCGACAGTAGCTTAGATAAGTGTATTTCTGGACAGTTGGTATGGGTGTGTCTGAACTGAACATGAAGTTGCGGTTGTCATCTACGTTGAAAATCTGTATGAGCTGTGTTATCTGTGAGGAACATGTGCTGGCGGTCGGTTCAATCATTCCGGATACTAGTAATATTCCTTATTTTTCCCATTCAACTGCGACGCCTAACAGAAGCAGTCCACACTGCATCATGACCACATTCTATGATACGATAAAAATACGATTTCAAATATATTTTACTTTTCAGCTTGTTCGTGAAATCAAGAAGCACCTGTCTGAGGCGAAAGCCCCCACCACGGACCTTAACAGTTCTGAAGCCCTGCCTACTGTGACGACCAAGCAGCTCTCTCCAGCTTAGAGCAATGTTCAAACGCAAGCCACACCCCTTTCCGTGAAGCTTGCTGTGTGTCAACGGTCGCTAGAAATTGACGAGAGGAGACTGGGGAAAAATGAAGTTAAGCCCTTTAATGACAGCCTGGTCTGAAGGAGATAAATGTCTCAGGATCAAGCTCGACAAACATGGGCGAATACACATTCTTTCCCTGGACTGCTCTTGATCAAAAATACGTTAACAATTTTTTCTTTGTTTCATCTAAATGAGTTGCTTTGGACTTTTGTATGCTTATGTGCATTCCGCATTCATGAATGATGTCAACGATAGCTAGATCAAAGCAAAGTGTGCAAAAACCACATGTCTATCATATCAGGATGGATGTTACCAAATAGCTGACTCTACCAAAAAGTATTTGTTCCATGATTACAGGTAAATAGGAACACTGCTCTAGTACACACATTTGTTTGTGTGATTTCTTTTCAAGAAATAAATCGACAATAAACACCAAGTCAACTTGTGGAAAATTTTCTTCCCATTTTCTCGAGTCATTACAACTACAGCAAAAATACTGCATTTGAGTAAGGCTGTAGTGAGTTGTAGAGAATCACCCCAGCAATGGCTACACTCTGTAATGCACCATTATACATACCTCAGGGGAGTACTGTACCAGGCACATTTCTGCCTGCCCTATTGATATCTAGTCACAGACAGGCTCCTTGCCTGACACTTATGTTTTGATACTTGATGAATTTTCATACATACATTTTCAATGTTATGCCTCAATAACACTAGTGCCCTCCAAATAACAGTACACTTGAGGGCTGGCCTCCTATATTGTACAAGTACTATTAAGGAGCAACTGACAGTAATGAATTATACAATATGCAACACCATACATGTATTATGTAGTAGTAATTATATGATGGTATGCACCACCTAGTGTGTTATTGATCGAAGTATATCATGAATGTCTTTTGCTATTGTATGTATAAAAGTGTAGGTTTCATCACTAAAGACAGTTTCACTACAGTCTACATGATGTAAGATATTATATGCTGTAAGTGCATATGATATATACTACATGTATGAGAGAACATTTGAATAAATTTACAAAATGTATCCACTAGAAGTTTCCACAGTGGGGATGAGCTTGGGGAGGCCCATTACTGCTAATTACATTTTACAGTCTGTTTGAACCAACATTAACACACAAAATTAATATTACATAAACAACTTACATTACGAAGAGTGACTGTGCACAAACTGATTCTTTCATGCTTATCCATTAAAAAAAACTTAATAAAAATGGCGTCAGTAAAACACTGAAAGTTGTGCTGACAGAGCCAACATTATTGTCAAAACATGGTGGTATCTATTGAGTATTGTTCATTTTCAGTGGACAGTACTGATACCAAGATGCATAGATACCTCATCTAATCTGCCTATTCTACATATTCCTCAACCTGTCTGGCACTTCCAACCTGCCCCTGATTGATAACACATGAAGTGTACAATACATCAGCCTACATACACAGTGTACTGTGACTGCATTGTACTCAAATACAGCATACAAAATCACAAAAGTTTAAAACAGTGTAAAATCTAATAAAATCATAAAATGTGTGCATAGACTTCTCACATACCTTGCTATGAAGTTTGATATTTCAGTCATGGCTTTAAAATAAACATACTTGGAATTGGGCACTTCCCATTCATGTACGTACTACACTGTACTGGCCACTGCTGCAATTTTGTACATCTATATTTTATGTACAAGTTTGCACTGATTTACAAAAATTAGATTTTTTTTTCAAAAAGTGCAACATTGTGTCAAGGCACCATTGTTCTTGCAAGTTAGTGCTAGAGCTACACTCAAAGAGACAGTAGTATCTTATTAAAAACCTTTGAAGCACCGTTAGACAATAAAAAACTTGACAATTAAGGGTACAAAAGCGGCAACTCAAATATGTCATACTTGTTACAGTATTTTTGGTAGAGGGTAGACTTGTCAGAGATATCTTAGGTTCTACCATTCAATTGCTCAGACTTGTTAAAAACTCCCCAGCAGTAAGTCATGGATGGAGCTGGAGTGTGTGGTGATGCTGACCCTTCATTTACCAGTTGTCCAGAAAGTCAAAGCCAGTCTTCTTAATTGATGTTTCTCCCTCACCCTAGAAAAACAAAAAGTCATTATCAGAATGATGATATGCTTATACATTCAACAACATGGAGTCATAAACAAGCTTAACTCACTACTACATGTACTACCTTCCAATATTTTGTACTGGTTTGAATTCTGCATTGGATCAGTAACATGAGGTGTTGCAAAACACTCCACTGTTCTTTTAGAAAAACTACAAAGTACATCATATGGTATCACTGCATGAAGAAAGTGGATTAATGTATTCACAATATGCTACATTAGATTCTCCTAAATCCTGCAGCTGTACAGAGCAAGGACAAAGGAAGAACTAACCTGGCTGTCAGTCTCAGCAGTGGAGAATGTGAGTAAGGGGGTGAACTCTCCTAGTGGGGCCAGGTCCACCTCATCCTTGGTTGTGGGGGGTGGGGGTGAGGCCTCTGCCTTCTCCTTCTGCCTGGCCAGCAGGGCAGACAACTCATCCTGCAGGTTCATCCTCTCATCCGCAGGACTCAGACTGCCCGGAGACTCGGTAAACGACCGGGGTGAGTCTGAACTCGGACCCTTAGAGCGGGGGGTATCTGGGCGACTGCCTTTCCCATTGGTGAAGGGTGGAGCTGCTTCTGCACCAAGCAGCTTTCCTCTTCCATTGGACGGAAATGCCTCTGCTCCTTGGACTTTTCCTTTCCCATTTGATGGAGCCGTCTCTGCCCCTGCCAGCCTCTGTCTCTCAGCCTCCCTCTTGGCCTTTTCCTTAGCCTTCACCTGGCTGGGTGTCAACTTTTCCTGCTCAAAGTCCAGATCCAGATGGTCCCGTTTGGGTACAGCAGGGCTGTGTGCCTCTGCTGTCACTCGTAACATGTGAGGCGTCCCCTCCCACATCCCACCAAAAAGGCCGCTGCTGTTCTCTTTGTCATCTCTGGAGTCCTGACGTTTGTCTGGCCTGGCCCGACGTGGTGAGTCTTTCTGTCCGACTTTCAAAGGCCGGCCTTTTTTGTCTTTAGCTGGTGTGGTACCTGCTTCCTGACTGTCAATGGCATGGGGAAGATGTAGTTCTTGTTGGCTCTGAAGCAAAGGAAAGAAGATACTATCATGCATTCTGAATGGTAGTCAATGAGTGCTTCAAACAAATATTCCCTTGGGAAATTTGTCATAATTTGAAATGCCAACCTCTTTTTCTCAAGTACACGTAATTCCATGACTGCAAGAAAACCTTGGGCAATCAAGGTTCCCATTTTTGGTATACTTCTACAGTAGTATCTATATCCCCCTGTACAGTTTTCATTACCACCACCCACTGTGGAACGCACCTCCTTTGGTGACATGGAGAAATGTAGGGGTCAGACATTTATCTCTACAGCATGTGTTTTGAACATCAACCAGCCCCAGGAAACTGTTTTCCTTCCCTGAAGGAGCTGGCAGCATTTTGTTTTGGTAGTAGATAGAGTACTCTATATTTAGGACTTGGTGTATTCAACAATTATTTACACAAAGCTTTCAACGAGGACAGCAGGTATAAATAAGCTGATATATTTTAGACTTAGTGGCAGAACTTCGCATATAAGGGAGAGGCTGAAATACAACACTTGGAAAATAAATGGATTGGTCTGGGTGACAGTGTTTGCGTATGTATTAACAAGGAGCTGAAGGGTGATTAATCACACACAAACAGAAAAGAACAACAGTTTATTCCACTTGTCTCTGGTGAGCCACTGGTATTTATATACAGAATCCCCATTGGACCTGCACCAGTTTTCATATGCATGAATCAGATAAAATAGCCACAAAACCCTCACAGGGGATGCTGCATGTATAAACAGTAGGGAAAGGGTTTCACCATAGTAGGCTCCCATGGCTTTTGTGTATATATAGTTACAAAACATAATGTCAATGCATACCTTTGTTTCCCAGTGAAAGGGTCCAGAGTGTTCATCCAGCCATGTGACACCCTGTAAAAACAAGGAGGCAAGTTGAGCAGAACAATCTGGAATAACATCTACACAGACATGAAATAACAATCAGGCTCTGAACCTCCTGGTGTGGAGATAGATTGGAACTCCATTTTATTTCTGCTGGGTAGTGGGTTATCCCGTAACTAGATGTAAATACAGTTGCTGAAGGTTCGTGGGCACTATGTCTATGGTGGACATGGTGGTGGTGATTGTTATCAGCTGAAAGGGACATTTACAGCAACGAAGAGTTGAGCACACAAAAATTAGTCCCAACTGTAAATCTACTAAATAACCTAGGACACTATCTAATGAGTGTCCTTGGTACAACTGATTTATCTTCATCGACAGAATGCTGGCGGCAGCTTCTTACACCAGAAGGCCCCAGAAGTGGGGAAATGTCAGATCAAGATAAACAAACAGAAGCCTTTAATCCTAAGACTATACATGGCTGTGCCTTGTTGTTCACCACTGGTTGACAATTGAGGGGAAACAGAAGCAGGGCTTGGAATCAGCCATTATGGCGTCAACTTGATGAGGGAACGATAAAAGTATGTCAAACAACGAGTAGGGGGCAAGGACAGAAACACAAAACACCTGCGGAAACAGGCCTATATCCCTTGCCCGTAGAATGCAAAACATGGGCTCAGATTTCCTCTTTACGTTTGGTGAACTGCAAATGTCCTGTTCTACATATTTCTGGTCGGGAAATCCAGACCGATCCGGGACACATCTGGTTTCCTGCACGGAAACATTGGGGAAATGAAACATGTTCCCTCGGGCCTTCGTTTACATAGAACCACAGGACTGTGATTCAGAGGCAACGGGGAGGGAGATGCAAATAAATTTTATGTCGGCTTATGAACCTAGGCAAGGGCTGAGTTGGGGGGAAACGATCTAGATCGATTTCTCAAACTGAAGCTATACATAAATAAAGTCAATGAATTGACTTGTGAACATGGACATCACCAAAAACTTAACAACTTATCACCGGCAGGTGCATATGCATATGAAGTTTGAAAAAGGACTTATGAACCAACCGAGGATTTGCTGTTAGACCCGTCGTCAGGATCGTGCACGATCTTTTCCCCTGCAGGTAATATGAGCCTGGGGTAGTATGGCGGTAAATCGTGGTCGGGATATTTTGGATGGTCCTTGTAGACAGCTTTTACTTCAGGTGGCACGAACCAGTCGTTGATGACATCGTCTTGTTCCCTGGCGCTGAGGTTGTTCCATTCCTTGCGGTGTCTGTGTTTGACTTTATGGATCTCATCGATGATTCTCCTGGCCATCGGGTTGATGGAACGGAAGTACGAGTCGACTTGGTCCTCCAAAGTTGCTTCTTCATGCCGTCGATGTCGTCTTCCCCCCTTCCTACCTTTGTCCTGCACCACTTCCACCGCCATCTTGCCGAGTTCAATCAGCCTTTGTGACGGGATACACTGACGCTGGACAGCAGCGTTAGCCTAGAGTCCTGCATGTTTAGCGGGGGTCATATTACAGCCAACTGCTTTGTGCCCATCGTCCTTGAAATCAACCAAAATGGCGGAAGAACTCAAACAGGTTAGAGCACGTCGCATACTTTTCGTGGTTTTCACGTGCTAGCTCAAGTCCTACATTGATGTTGTTACGTGTAGATTGAGACAACCTTTTCCGCACAATGATATATGTGCTATAGTGTGTTTGGGTAACTGTACCAAGTTACAATTCATCGTTATATCAGGTTGCCCCCCTCCCACTCGTAGACATGCTCTCTCGATCCACAAATTATGAAGTGCTTGAAAAATTATACTATCACAGTTACGTATTCTTCTTATTCTATCCAGCTGAAGCTGTTCTCTGATGTGACCGCAATGTTGGCACCTGCCAAAAGCCTGTATGAGGCTGGCTGCTGCCCCTGCTGTCTGCTCAGGTTCCTGGGAGAGAAGGACTCTCAAATCTATCAAAAATCAGCCGAGGTACTCAGCAAACTTATGACATACACTACAGTATTCTGTGTAATGCCCTTGCACTCAGATAGAACACATCACTGCATGTGGAATGTGACGTTATCTAAATATGGTATATGGAAGAACACAACAACCAATGTATTTAAAAGTGATCAATATTTCAACAAGATGGTGCATTCCACATAAATTTTAAGTTACTAGTATGTCTCAATGTTGATGACAGTGCTTATTAGCCGCGCGCGGCGACTGTTGCAGGGCTTCTCTTGCTTGCAGTCTTTTATGTTAGGGCTAATGTAAAAGACTGCAAGCAAGAGAAGCCCTGCAACAGTCGCCGCGGCTAAGTGCTTATATGATAGTGTAAATGGAAATGTAACCGTTGTCTGGTAATGACTAGAACATTTTTATTTTGTCAGGAGCTTCAGGCTGTAGCTCTCACACTCTGCAGCCAACCTCAGGGTGATGTTGCAGATGGTCCCACAGACAGCAAGTGTGTGAACACAGATGACATTCCATGCATAGCTTGTCTTGGCATTCTACAGCATGGCTGTAGTGAGGAATTCCTTGAAAAGGTATATAATCCAATGATGATGCATAAAATTTCTTAAGAGCAGAAAACTGCTGTACCTTTCTCTTGTAATGCTTGCACCTATTCATAGATGATGGACATGACTTCTCTGTATTATATAGTTACTCAATGGGACTTTATGTACATTCTGGTCTGGATCATGTTGGTCTGTTCCCACAGATCCAGAAAAAAATAAATGAGGAGGGATATAAATCCCAACTCTTCAGTTTATCCTTGATGACACCAATACAGCTAATAGTGAGAGAGGTAAGAAATCTATTTTTATGTCTTGCTATATTATTAACTTTGGGGAAATTATAATTTCTAAGATAATCAACCCAAATAGATGTACTAGTATATTGTGGCACAATTTTGGTACATGGGCAGATCATGAAAAACATCATGGGATTTGGGCAATACCCATTTCTTGGTAATAATTTTTCAATGAATTATAACTTATGTGCATACTGTTAAGTATTGAGCTGTACAAATTCTAAAGTCAATATTTAACCCTCACTTGGTTTTATATTCTAGCATGCAGTAATGCTGTTTCTTAGGCAGAGATTTAGGTAAGGTTCCCATCATCTCTTGTCAAACATGTTATTTTTTTAAACATTTCTGTAATATTCTAAAATAAAGGATGATATTGAAAATTTATACAACATATGTTTTGGTGTTCTACTGTTCTAGTGACCTGTACACAGGCCAGTCCATTGAGAAGGTGACAAGCATGAAGGATGTGTACAAGTGGAGATGTGGTCCCAGATTAAAGGACAAACTAAATATGGAGTACCATCACCAGATAGAGGTATGGCTGTTAATGAAGTGTTCTAAAACATGTTTTAAATGCCAGTTTGTCCTTGTGTATTATCAATTTATCTGACATCTACCTTTTTTTTAAATTTCTAGAGTCCTTTTCTTATCCAGTTGATGTTTGAACACAAGGAGACTGAAACAGAGTGCAGTTTTCTGTGAGTTCAGATGATGGACATAGCTTCCTTCTAGGTTATTTCTTAAATGTTAGTACATGTACTTGGATTTGTTTTAATTGCAGTGGTGTGGTGGCATAGATAGCTAGTAAGTGTGCTTACCACTTGAGTACATATTCTTGCTTTTATTTCTGCACGTTAGAATGAATGCATATTATGCTCATGTTTTATATGTATCTGTAGGACCATCTTGCATGCTTCACTGTATGGTCCCAGAAATGACACATTAACACCTTCTGCTGTATGTACAATGACCCCGTGTCTCCATACCTCCATAGGATCAGTGCTTGTCCAAAGGTTTTTCCTTCCAACTCTAGCAGAAAACGCAAGGTTAGTTCTGAACCTTAAAATTTACTTTTCAATTGCATGATAAGTAATACATTACTGTGTGTGTAGGGTGAATCCCCAAGGGTCTTGTGTGTACTGTTAAGTTTTTCTCCAAATGCTTGTTCTGCTCATAGCTTTTAGGCCTTTCCAGAAGTACCATGTGCTATGTTTTTCAGAGGGATTCCGAGCAGGGTGTTTTGAACAGAACTTCAGTTGCAAGAGCCATCAGCAGCTTGTCTGAGAGTAAGTTTATGAGGTAAGATATTGTCTGTGTTCTTTTGATGATCAAACTGTCAACAACTTTTGAAAGCATACAGAGAAAGATCATGCAGAATATGCATTTTTATCATTATCCAGAAGATGGTCATTTGGAACTAAATCTATTTTAGTTACAGTGCGCTGCAGTACAAATACCCAGTAGTGTACATGCAAAATGAAGCATGATTTTACATGTATGTGATGCCTTTCTCCAGTCTAGTGAGGTGCCCGCCCGAGAAGGTGGACACTATGTGCAGGTGTGAGGAGATCACCTGTTATCATGAGGCTGTCTTTGTGGCAGGTGGGTGGAAATGTTTCACTCTTTGGGTTCTTGGTGCAGTTTTAGCTGGCATATTTTCCAATACATGCAGCTCAGAAAATGACTGTTTGGGTACTGTTCATATTTGCTATGCCATTACCTGACTAAACAGCCTAGTAATCAGCCATACATGTATTTTGAGTACTTGTACTTGTTTATTTCAGGTCGTTACAACAAGTACTCCCGGACCCTGAGTCAGACCCCCTGGGTGGTGGATGGTGAAAGAAGGGGGAAAACCTCTGTATCAGAACTAATTTGTACCAGAATACAGGCCATGTTCATGGCACAAGGTAGGTGTAGACAAGGTGATAAATCCCATTTATGTCAAGTTCATTTCATTCTTCACGTGTTTGGGAGGATATATCAATTCTGTAACCCATTGTATTGTTAATAAGTTTGCAGAATAATAACTTTCAAAGTTGATTTTCTTTGTGGTTTTAATTATTATCCACGTTGTTCCATACCTGGCCTGATCAGAGTACAGATTCTCCTCAGCAGGCAGAGAGGATGTAGATGTCAGGACACTAGGCAGAGGTAAGTCTTGTGTTTGAAAATCAACGTACAGCTCTTCACATTTGTGACATGCACTGTTGGCAACATTTGCTTTAAATCTTATATTTCTAAAGAACTGTATTGCTTTCCTGTATGTCACAGGGAGGCCCTTTCTGGTAGAGTTGATTCAGCCCCACGTTTCTGATGTGCCAATAGACAAGATGAAGTTGCTTCAACAGGTATGCATGGCCCTGGATGTTTTCCTCTATGAAGAAAGAACAAACAACAAACAACATTGTTGTTGCTCACAAGAAGGATTACACAGTGATCTCTGCAATGCTGCATTCAAACATTGAATATGCATGCAAACTACAAAACTATTTTCAATCAGTTGTTATCTTGCTTTTGAAACAGTTCATCACCTCTCATTCTTATTGATGTGAATAGGAGATAAACAGTGGAACGACAGATATTGCAGTTAGGGACCTGCAAGTAGTGTCAAGGTAAGTTCCACTGTCACGTTACATCCTTCCAATGATACTGCTTCTGTACCAAATCAGCCACAGCATACTGTGTTCTAGTACTTCACTCGCACTATATCCTTGGTGTGTCAATTCTTATGTGATTTGTCATCTGCATAAGAAAGACAAAAGAAGGTACATGTTCATGTAATTCCACAGGTAGTGTTTTTTTTCTGGAAAGGCTTGTTCAATAAAATTATTATTATTGCAGCAAACAATAAGACTGTTTATTTGTCCCCACTTAGGGAAGAGTCAGGAAAGCTGAAGGTTGGAGAGACAGAGAAGACAAAGTCCTACTCTGCCCTGGTCAGGGTCGAGAAGACTATTCAGCCTGATGACCTCAAGTTTTTAGAAGAAATTAAGGTAAATTCTATGTCTCAATAATATGTATTTCTTGCCTGTTTTGACTGCTTTTTGTGCAGGATTATTGTGGATTATTGTGTAAGACTCTTTTGTGAACTTAGTGTGCAAAAAAAAACATCTTTTTCATGCCATGTCTGTCTATGTGAATATGAAGGACTTGAAGCTGGCCCAGAAGACCCCCATCAGAGTCATCCATAGACGGCCACTAGCCAGTCGTGATCGTGTCATACACAACATGTCAGGAGAATACATCGACTCTCACCACTTCACTCTCCACCTCAAGACACAGGCCGGAACGTATCCATCTCTTACTGTCTGATGTATCATACATATCTACATTAGCTACATGTAAATAACTTTTGTATTCAGATAAATCAAAGCAATGATTCCTTAATGAGACTTTACCAGGTACATCAAAGAGTTTGTCCATGGAGACTTTGGCAGGACCCAGCCCAGCCTGTCCACACTCATGCACATGGACACAGACATTCTGGAGCTGGATGTGGAGGTACAGCTCTTTTCAAATTTTTAAATAAGTCAAAGGTCGAATTAAAGTAGTCATGACATTCATTTATTCTTCAGCAGGACATTACATCTGTCTGTGCGTGTCTTAATAAGCAAAATGTCAAGACCATGCCAAGGTACGGCCAATGGTAGAGATGACTTGATTATATTTGCAAAGGATTTGTGTCACTTGCCATCTAGTTTTGGGTGTGTTACATCATTTGTAATATCTAGTTTTGTCTTGCAGTCTGTTGATGTGGACTGGCCCAAGACTATTGATGAGTGAACATCACCAGTTGGAAACTGTTATAGCTACAGCTGTGGAAGGAAAGAAGAAAAGACAAGTCTAGTCGAGTTTTTGGGACGACTGGGAGAGGAAAATAAACAAGCAAAGCTCTGCCAAGGCAACTTACTAAACATTCTGAAATAATTGGGATCAAACATTGATGTGTGCCAAGTGCTGTAAAGATGTTGTCTTTTAAATTATTTCACATGTTAACAGTGAATATAATGAAAACAGCAAAAAATTATAAATTGAAGCAGTGCCATGGAAGTATTCTGCTGTTTCAGTGGTCTTCTGTGTTCCTCTTAGGAATGGTGTCCATTCCTCAAGATGTTTACAAACATATTCCTGTTTGTTTGTTTTTTAAGATGTGCCTATAATTTATTCCCTTCCACGAACAACATGTGGTATGGGCCATTTTTATGACTATTGTTCTAAATGTTACACTGAATAAAACGATACAATATTTGTAGTCTTAATTTCTGTACAGATATAAGTTTTAACTTTTAAATCTATTGGCAAAAAAGAGAAATGGTACTGAACATGATTTGTTTTCAAGAAGAAAAAGAAAGAAAGAGGCAACGCAAGAAATAATGTTCTGTGGAAAAATCATGAAATGATAATGCATTCTTATATTCATAAAGACAAACCTACTTAATTCTTTTGAATGAATCAGGCTTGATAATTATTTGAACCGAACATATACACATGCATTTCATCATCATCATCCACTGTGTTCTGCATCTGCAGTCATGAGAACATGTGCATATACTAGTATATTTTTTTCTGATTATGGCAACATGTACATTGTACAACATTAAATGAAATTGATTTGTTTCAACTTAAAATAACTTGCATGATGGACATTGGTTCCACTTCACTGCAGTGAAGTTATACTTATAGTCAATCATCAGCAGTACCAGCTGCACAGAATCATATAGACTATTCATCTTAAACATTTGATTTCTTCGATAGTTTTGCTTCCAACTTGCCCTGATTGTTTCTATCCTGCGTTACACATCTGGGAGTCTGGGGGTTTATTGTCCCACCCCTCCTCCCCCGAGAGCTCTAGCAAGGAGGTTAAAATATAAACCTCCTCGGTTCTAGTAGGCCAGTTAGTCTGGCAGGCTGCTAGTTAGGCCACATTGTTTACGTTTTTTAATGTCCCAGTCATTTTAGATTTTGCGTTCTACAGAGTTTGATGGGTATTGTCTAGGTCTGATCATGCCTGTCACATTGCCCATGTGGCCTGATGTGGTGAATGGCGAAGTCCAACACGTACATCATGATGGGCTCGGTGTAGTGGAACGTGATGGTGTGTTTGGAGCAGCAGTCTGGACCCTGGAGGGGAAAAACAGCTTGTCAATCATACAATGTAGAAATAATCTATTGACAGAAAGCAGTCTTACACTTAGCTATCAGGAGAAAGGTTAGATAACTGGGTTAAGTCAGAAAAAGGTGAATATTTGTAAGTTGATTTTTTTTTGCTGAGGATGAGTCCAGTCCAGCTTACCGATTGTACCGGGTAGGTGCTGTATCTGTGGAGCCACTCCGGCAAGTTGCCAAGAACATGGTCCTGGAGACTCAGGCAGTGAAACGTTTGCCTCCCCTCCTCATCCCTGGAGTCACCTGCCGTAACACCCGCCTTCTCCAGACATCTGCCGATTTCCAAGTCTTCCGGAGCTTTGGAATGTAGCCTGCACTTCCTTGGGTCGTCCATACCCTGTGTCACTAGTCTCTTCAGAGCTTCTTTACTGAGTACGTATCCGGCCCCGCCACTCATGTAGCCGTTCTTAGTGTCAGGTCTGATGGAGTTAAACCGGAAACCGTAATATACAGGTTCCTCTGGGTTCTTGTCCGATAGGAAGTGACGTAAGTTTTCCATGATGACGTACGTGTCATCATCAGCTTTGAAGAACCAATCGGCTTCGTCGAGATGATGTTGGTAGACATGTTTAAAGGCGTGGATGGACTTTTGTAAGAGAGAATCTCGACCTTCAGTTACGTTTATCACGACTGTTGGGAGGAAGTCGTGAGACTTAGTTGTGATGAAGAGAGTCCGGTCACATTTGGACGCCCAGGTGTCGAAGGCAGGCAGTGCCTTACGGTCATGGTTGTCGGGGTCTGTCAGGACCCAGCAGAGCACCCGGACTCTGGATTCTCGACCTTTGTGGACCTCGCTTGGTTCGTGGAATGCTGACAATAATTAAAGAAAGAGACCAGGAGAAAATGGTCAGGAGTGGTCATTTTCGAACATTCATAGATTCAGCTCTATGATGGACGTGGATCTTGCATGACAAATTGACCACTGAATTGACACGTTTTTGCCATGGCCATATGGCAGATATTGGCGCAGAAAAATTATATGACAGGTAGGAAAAGCTCATGTACTAGTACCTGTTGGACTGATGACCCTCAGCGGTGGAGGCGGACCTGTAACAGGATTGTACTCTCGGTCCTGCAGCCATGCCGCACTTCCTGTAGACACATCGTGGGGTACAAGATTCATGGTCTCTGCACGCAACCAACATACTTCTGCTTGAAAGTCAAACGTCAGTTAGGAAGACTCATGATCAAATCACACGCAGATATATGTTCCATTGTGACCTCCTAGGTTGCTATTTCGGTTCTCCATAGAAACCAGTGTACTTCATTCAGAAGAATGTCACGCCGTTTACTCCATACTTTAGAAACGGTGCCGTCAATCTGACGCAAGATATATAAATTGCCGACCTTCCGCACTCTGCGAGTCACACACTTCGAGCATATCACCTAAAACAGTTTACTCAGTCTGTACAAACACAGCACGTGGGTCATAGCGGGCGCTAAACATTCCAATCACTACGGTACCTATCTCCAGATAGCAGTGTTTTACTAACGATGCCAAGTGTTCCGTGCGGTTTCCTGGTTACGCCGCCAAGACGGGCATGAGACCTGAATGTCCTGTGGAGCTGGACTCAAGTCAAGAGGACGGATAAATGTTCGAACTAGCTGCACTGGGGTCTGGAGTAGAAATATTTTAACCAAGATCTTATTCAGTACACTGGGTGTTAAACTAGGGTATCTTGTTCGGTACGCTAAGCTACGTAGTCAGACAGAATCTTTTTTCACCGTGATATTCATGTGAGATCCATATAGGAGACTTGCGGTTCATATCTCCAACCTTTACCACGTTGCTCTCGCACGAAAGTAACGAAAAAATGAAAAACACGTTAATTCTATTTGCGGATTGACCTGCCGTGCCAAATTGTACATGGCTGTCAGGTACTATCAGACCAGCTTTTGTCCCTCCACAAGCCCTCTACACAGTTTGTGTTAACTAGCTAATGAGTTTGATAAGGGCGCCATGTTGCCACAACACCGTGAGGAATCAATCCTTACGATATCTTTTTAATAGAATTTGAACGACCTTACTATTGTCCTGTGTTTCCGTAGTTGTCATAAGTCGACAGTTTCAGGGGAACGCCATCAGAATTTCAGATTCAGAAGTGCGCATTGCTATTCCGATGTACTCTACCATAAAGAAGTTCCGCCGTTTTAAAACTTTCTTTGTTCGACAAGCCTGGATCAAACATCCTAGGTTTACGTTAACTACTAAGTTTTGTTGCGCTACTGAAATTCTGAAGGATACCGCCCGTTTCGTTGACTCACATTAATTGCACTGGTGCTGATGCATTTGAAGATGGTCACACCTACCTTACAAACACTGCCCTATTGATCTAACATACATTTGACACACACAAAGTACACGCCTATAACTTTAAATGGTGCAATAACTCATTGTAAGCTTGATCATAATCGGGCAACCTGTATTGAATAGGAGAAATGTGGAAACCGGATAAATTCCACCCCGACTAATCAGATAACGTAAAGAAGACAAATTACTACTTATAAACTCTCGGAATGTCGCTCCAGTAATATCAATCACAACCTAAAGCTAACAACAGCGCATAATTGAAAGTGAAGTTTACGTGACCGCGGTGCTGATTTCTTGGGGATACAATGGCACACTGTTGACTTTGGGTAATCAGAGGTTGGCAAGTGTTCAGGTCGACTGGAGTAATTGCATGTCTAATGGGGGTAGGTCATTGTGTCAGTGGATATGTGCTTCACACACACGCGTCTTTGCGTGCGTCTTCTACGGTTTTTATGCCTCATTATAGCAACCTCCTTAATTTGAAATCACCTGAAACCCGAACCTTCCTCCAAGCTCAGAACACATTCTCAGAGCCCCTGGATATGCGCAAATTTAGAACAGTTGCGTCTTTGTGCCATGTTTTCTGTTTGACAGCGGTGAGGTAGGAGAGGTACAGATCTATAGGACAATTTACGATCAGAAATAATGTCATCGGCGAAGGTTATCTAGGCATCTTACTTTCCTCAGTCTTACACCGTACCGACTGACAAAGGTCAATTCTGTAATTTCTGCTATCCAATATTTTGATCCAGCATTAGTACCTACCTGCTGTGTCCAAATCTCCCTCATCTTGGAACGTCAGGTCCCCCGCAGTTTCTCCAAATGTCCGTATGTAGGGTTGACGTTCCCGACCCTGCACTCCGTCCCTCAGAACTTCACTGCTCACCACCAACAGTGCAATAACCCCGCCGAACAACGCGCCCACGGTGAATGTCATCATCGCGTGCCTTGTGGATCCGCGCTCCAGTGCCATGATGACTGCAAGTCCGCCAGCAGATGATTGTGTCTAGTCAGATCCCGCCAAGTTTAGATGCCATCGACTCGACTCTTGGAAAACCTTTTACATAACTCTGAGTTTCATGCCGAAATGAGACCCAGGCCAAGTTTTGGACAGAACTTACAGTGTAGATAGGGTACAACTGTAACTCCAAGATTTTCCAACTAACCGAAGAACCCCTTCAGGCTTCACAGTCAGGCCTTTGTACTCCCTGAATCACTTGCACTCCTCAGGTACGACCTCTTCTGTCTGAGGTCCTCCCTGCCCTCTCAGGAGGAGCGGTAATGAGTTGCAGGCGTGGCTTCAGGAGCATGTCAAATTCTTAACTCGTTAATTCATAACATCAATGGAGTCGTGACAGCCTCTACGCAATCAGTGTGTGTTTACCATCTGAGTAGAACTCTTACAGGTGTACATCCTGCTTGCGTCAGATTTCTGCTCTTTGATCATGGTCTAAAGGTCAACGTCCACAAAGGAACTTGAAAACTTGACAACGACGAAACAAGCGAGGAGACTTGAGTCCGTGACGTGTGACCTGTAACGTGTAGGACCACGCAGGGGGACGTTTATCACGTTTACTGCCCGACCTGCGGTGTTTTATCTCCACCGTGTGACGGTCCCAGTGCCCGCGATCCAGAAAACTCTTCCGCTCTGTGCCTGGAGACATAAAACAGCGTGGCGCTTATTTTACCAGGACGCGGCCTCAAGTTCTAAACGCGGGACACTTGCATCTTCGCCAGCCAGGCCTGCCGCTTACATTACGCAATACGCAAGCAGCAATGGCCCTGAGCTCTTGGGGACTTGGCACGGACTTATGAGGGCATGGTGAGATTTTGGAACACCCTGGTTACTGTACGACGTCCATATTAAAATTAAGAAAGCCAACTATAACGATCTGTATCCATTGATGTATATTCATCGGATGCTAACTGCATTCTTTGCCACATTGAAAAGTGTATATTTTGCTATCCAAATTTTGTACGCGCTTATTTTTGGATCCTATTAGTTTGGTGTATTTGGTTCATCAGATAGGTGATTAGGATACAAATATATATCTATCCATCAGTCCAAATGATGTCATCTCTCTCTCAAGCCAAGGTGAAATAAATTGCTGAATGTTGTTTTATTTTTAAGTAGCTCTCTGTCGTTTTTTTCGGCATATCCAACCATTCTGTGCATACATAGGGATTTGGCAATTTTGAACGCCCTTAGGCGACATAAGCTTGAATTACACACACCTTTCAATTAGAGATGGCAATCCGAAGCACAGAGGACTCTTTCATCACCTACAAAAGGCCTTTGGCATTTCTTTTCTGTTAGCTTTTGTTCTCATCCAGTGTTTGGCAGGGGTAGAGTCCTCACAACTTCCGGGTCTGAGATTTTTTTCAATAAAGCTGATGTGAGGGATCACTCGGAAGGTTATATATCTTCATGGAACATTTGTACGTTTGGAGCGGGAAAGACTACATTAAGAAATTTAAAAACGGATATCTAAAAAGGTCAAAGAAGATGTCGTTGAATAATGGTTGTCCAAAGATTCTAGTAATTTGTAACTGATGATGACCACTGTTTTATTTTTCATGCACTTTGGAAGACAGATACAACTGCCTGTATGTGTCAAAGTAGAAGAGGGGTACTACAACACTGGTCGCCTCTAATTTGAACATACACGCTTCACATTTGTAACTGTGTAAAAACTCTTTGATGCAGAGTCTAAGATTATTATTTTTCATCCCCTGGACCTGTAAACTTTAAACCAGCCCTTTTACCATGACAAAAGGCTGTCGCGTGGTGCAGTATAGCATTACAGGAGGAAGAATGCCCGGCGCTGCCGGTCCTATTGTTGTCCTGCGGCAGACGTCATGCCTATGGCATCCCACTACACGAGACCGACGCTGGGACTTCCCCTGGTCGATCAATGCTTTTGTGCATGCGCATTAGGGTCACATTCCTAACCTCAGAAGTAGGGATGGGAGTTGTGTTCGCGTTCCTAACATCGATAAGTTGAAACAAATCGAGTTAGAACAGCGAGGCGAGGATGCAGTGGCAGCTCCTGCTGGTTTGCGCCACGTGGACCACACAGGTAAGTTGATTGTATTCTTCCCATATTCTCCCCGGACTCTACAGGTGCTTTGTCTGTCGTTTGCAAGCACTCCGGAAATTATCAGGTGTGGTGACTTATTTGTGGCTTGTCAGTAGAAGTCACACCTCGCCAATCTTGTAGAAACTCACCTGTAGTCAATCGTCAAGAAGCCACCTAAGCTTTACTGAAGTTGCCAGCAGCATGAAACGGTCTGTTGTTAATGCTTACACAAAGGATGACTCATCGTCAAGACTGTACATAAGTGGTGATTATAGTGAACACCTAGCCTGGAGTGGAACGGGTCCGGGACACGATCGTGTGGATAAGGGGGAGTTAGATCTACCAGAGATAAAGACCTGTAGTGTTGTAACAACTACTAGTACCACTGTAGACAACCTTTCACTCCACAAGAAAAGAAAGGAACATACAAACGATGGGCCACCTGTATGAATCATGATGTAACAAGTTCGCAGGTGTCAGGTGGACGGTAGTATCAACCTTACTACATGAGCGAGCCGTACAGATATAAATTTGTTCTTCATTTTGACTTGTAAAATCACTTCCACAAACCGTAACCACCTGTATATGGGGTTGTTTACTCACTGTGTCGATAAAGAGCTGTTCTAAGTCCCCGTTAGTCAGAAAGCCATAGTCATAATAACATGGACCCTAGCCTGCAGTTTTGTTACAATCAGAGCCTGGCACGAAAGGTTCAGATTAATATTTACTCGTAATGCGTTATTGTCACGCGACTCTATCTCTTAGCCGTGTGTAGTCAGACTAGTCTCATCGATCGTTTTGTCACCTGTAAGCAGCGAACCTAACGGTTGCCACGGAAACAATACAAACATCTATGTGATGAGAATGAGTCACCTTTCCATTGGAGGCCATCAAAAATTAATATCGCTATTCATCGACAGACCATAATAATACTAATGCATCCTTTCAAGTCACGACTCGCTCTTAGGTGTGCAAAGACGTGGTGTCAAAAATACTAAATGTTCTCAAAACAAAAATCACTTTCGTCTGTCTCGCGTTTTCAAAACATTCCTTTTGGACACTCCGATCTGTACAATAACGGTTGGTTCGACTGCTCTGAATAACCATATCGTCATTATATAACAGAAACAAGTGGTCTAATAATACAGATAAATTTGAACCTTTGAGACTGTTGTTTTGGGTGTGGCGATAATGTTTCTCTCACATCATTGCGTACGGCCTATGGCATTCCACTCAACCCGGCAAACGGCAACAAAATAAACATGAACCGACCCTCTAACAAAGAGTGGTGCCCTGTTCTTCCTGTTTGCTAAGACCACGATGTCAGCGCTCGGCACGTTCGTACAAGGAGATTATAAGCTGGCGTGCATTTGGAACGTTCAATAGTTCTTCCGTGTTTCTTACATCATTCACAAAGTGATCAAGGTTTCAAGTAAATAATTGTTATTATTGTAACACTCACAAACACGCATTTATGTATCACAACACGCACCATGTCATCATTTCTGTGGGTTTTGAGTGCAGCAATGAGGGACAGTTTGAATATCGAAACAATAACCTTTGTAAATGGGATTACAGCTAGTTACTGACCTTTCTCAGGTCAATTATTGGTTATGACCTGTGCATATATTATACGGACTGCACCATTTTTTTCTTCATGGACGAGGAATAAAAAGTATGCGTCAAGTATGAGCCGTCGCTCTTAGCACACGGAGAATAAAAAGGAAACTGATTAGATGGGAAATTTAGCAGCTCAACTTTCACGTTACGTGCTAGCTTATGGTGATGTGGGCCAGGAGTGGCAAACGTAGTCACGCGCGAATGGCCTTATGGAGTGAAAGTCAGATTCCTGATCAAGCGGCCGTTGACCTTTACTGACTGAGGTTACATTTCCAAGCCGGGCCCGGTCGAACTGTTTGCGTGGACGAAAAATAAACAATTCATATAAATATGTACACAGATAGGGCTATGATTAGTTTTTTTAATTTTTTTGTGTTTTGCTATACTACACAAGTCAAGTTCTTTCATTGTGTAACGTTCAATGTATGATTGTTCTTCAGGTCTGTGTGGTAGACGCCCAGGCTGACTGCCACCCATTGTGTCTGTCCTGCTCTGGTCCCGAGTTAAACCAGTGCTTGGAGTGTCGGCAGTACAGTTATAACAATACCTGTGTTCAGCAGTGTCCGCCGTTAACGTACACTGTAAGCATAAACCTACCTAACGGTACTGTCACCTTCAATGATACGTTTGCTGCTATCAAGAATGTATCATCTTATCCCGACAATGCTACCATTACTAGTAATGATACCCTGCAGAACACCACCACTCCGACAGAGGTCGTCCCGAAAGACCCCACTGCCAGTAACAGATCTAGAGGTAATTGTGTGGACTGCCACCCTGAATGCCAGGATGGTTGCTATGGCAACACTTCTCGTGACTGTTACCGATGTAAACACGTGAACTTCAACGGGACTTGTCTGTCCTGTTGCCCGGATGGAAGCTACCGGGATCCCCGGGACTCCTGCAGAAGGTGCCACGAAGAATGCGAGAGGGACTGCACGGGACCAGGACCGACGCACTGTCACCGGTGCAAACACGTTCAGTACGGCGACAGGTGTCTCCACACATGTCCGGGTAACACTTACCAGCGGACAGGCACCCCTTCTATTTGTCGGCCTTGTCACACAACATGTGAGGATGGCTGTGTTGGACCGGGGCCCCAGAATTGTGCCCCTTTGCCTCAAAACGAAAGGTAACTGTGGACGCGATTATTTAACTAAAATTGTTGTACATGTAGAGCAAACTTTTCATTGTTTGGATCGAATTCAGTCGTTAAACATATATAACGTATAGAGCCCTCAGGGTCATAGGTTTTATTTGTATTATGTGTGTGAATGTCTTTGGCAACCCGTCGTCAAGTTTGCCATTTTTCATTGTTTCGTACCTTCCGCCCAACAGAGCTAGTCAGCTTTCAGTGGTGTTACCGCTGGTCATCACAGGTGTTGTTGTGGTCGCACTACTTGGGAGCTGTTTGGTGGGCCTGGTTTCTTGGAAACGACGGTTGAGATCCCGAAAGCCACATTCGTCTCCTGTAAGTAGTCGTTTGCTTGTGTATTCACTAGGCTCATATACATGTATAAAAAGATGAGGACACAAGTTGTACGGCGTTGTTGCGATGTCAATTCTATTCTCTAAACGGTACTACATGTAGTGATTTAGCCGCCACGCTTACATCATGTTTTGTTGTACATATTCTTATTGAAATGGTGATACGGGTTATCATGTGTACAGCTTGTTTAAGACATATGTTTTAAAGCAATTTTCGACATTTCCTGTTTCAGACACGAAACCTCGCCTGCTACGAACCCGGCAGCGTCAGCACCATCGCCATCCCGCTAGGTCCAGAGGAGTCGCCTATGAGTGATCTGTACCGAAATGTCTGCATTGACAACGCTACTTTCGCCAACGACAGCGACGATGACGTGGACGTGTCGCCGACCCCTAGCCTTGTGTTGGGCGGAGGTCGTTCAGACGACAACAGCTCTTCTATTTCTGGTCGCGCCGATACCGTGAGTGAAGGGGCGGTCTCTAATGAATCCCGATCGACAGACAGTACTGTCGTACGTGTGCCGATCCCAGCCTCAGAACGGCAGACACGTGACATACAGACAAACTTTGAACAGGCCGCCTCGTCTAGATGGTCGCCGGACCAGAGCTCCTCACAGCAGGCCCTGGACAAGATGTCGTCGGGATGGCGTTTCAGTTACCTGACGGACGACAGCGGGATAGTGAGTGACGGCTCACGGTCTTCCACGATGGACAACCAAAGTCGATGGAGCGTCACTACGAGTGGCACGGTTGGATCTGGAGACTCCAGAGTATGTCTCCAGGATACAGCTGATACAGCTGTGAACAGAAAACTGTCACAAGACGCGCGTGAGAAAGACGTCCGCCGTACATCTGAATCCCTTCAGGGGGCTCCGGCAGATAAACAAAGTACTGAAGTAGAGAGCAAAAGCTTAGGTGAACAACCCGCCAATAGAGAAGACATCACCTTGACGCACCTGCTGTCTAAATTCCGTGATATCGTCTCTGATCCTCAGGCCACTGAACCGGGGGCAGTCAACTTCTCGACCCCGCGATTTGTGGCGGGAATGTTCGACAAACAAGGCGGGCATCTGACGTTAGAAAATCTCGGGATTGACCTGTACGTACCCCCAGACGCTGTCGAGCATGACGGTACCGAGATATTCATGTACGCTCGGGGAGCAGAGGAGCCTGCGATGGAAACGGAAGGAAACAGATGGACCCCTCCTGTCATTCAATGCGGTTCTCATGGGCTGAAATTCAAAAGACACGTAATTTTGACCGTGAAGCACCCCGCCGAGGACTTGACCAAATGGGCGTTCAAGTTCCAGGCCAGTAATACTGATGTTGGGGAGACCCCGGATTGGAAGGACCTTACACAAGACCAGTCGGCCCTGTGTTTTGCATATGGAGACAAGACAGTCATCTTTGTAGACCACTTCACTCTGTACAACGTGAGTGGGGAGCTTGTAGGTGCAGAGGGCGAAGATTTGGGACAGAAAACCGAATGGAAGCGATTCAGAGTGGGAGTCTTCGCCGAGCCCCTGTTCCTAGACACTGAAATCTTCCAACTCAGGGTCCGCTGTTGGCAGGACAACGATTACGAACAGCAGGTTAGTGTTGTTTTCCATACTTGATCTGCTCTGGATTACATTGCGTCTGTTCATATTCGGCGTTGTATTGTAATTATTGTATTTTCAATATTCTCCGTCCAGCGGTCGCGAGAGAAGGAGCAGTATCTAGGAGCGGTGCAGCTTGGTGACGACAAAGTGCTCCACCTAGCGGGAGATGGTGGAAACCTGTCCGTGGTGCTGGAGCGCCTTCGTCCCGGATGGTTGGCTTTCAATGGGGACAGACAGGTGAGGATGGATAGGTGTACCGAACAAATCAAACTTGCCATATTACTCTGCTTTCTACATCTTTTCACCAGCCTCCTAGTCAATATCTGTTACGGTTAACTTTTGCTTTGCATTATACGTATATGTATATGCGCACATTCAATGGCAATGTTCCCATACCGGATTATAGACCTAAACAATGTGCCTGTTTGTTTACAGACTATCCCCTTCCCCAGTCTGTGGAATGAGCACGCCGAGATGCCGTCCTGCACGTTTGACATCGAGAGGCAGCTGTCGGGACTCGTTCCCAAGACCATCGTGTGCAAAGTGACGGCCTTACAAGTCTCGAACCCGGATAAGTCCGTCAGTATCGACGTTCTCAAACAACTGTGTCCCCGGCAGGTGCGTATGTGTGTGTTACGGAAACGTGGAAAATCATCATACCTTATCAATGTGCCATTCACTTCTGTTGTGTAAATGTGGATTTATGGAAACTGATACCAAACAGTATCTCAAATGCGGCGTCAAAGCCCACCATTTTGGCAGACGTTTCACCTGTGCAATTACGATCACTAATTTCACAACTCCTTCTCTCCTAGGGTATTCAATCTGTCCAGGCCTCTGGCCGTCCCTTGGTCGCGTCTCTCGACTCCGAGTCTACTTTCCTTCGCCTGCAGCCTGAGCTGCGCCCCACACCTCGGTGCGTGCCACAGTTTCCTGGGGACGAACAGTTCAGTCTGCTGTGCCTGGTGTTGGACGTGGAGGACCCGGCTGGAAGAGACTGGCGCAGCGTGGCGGAGACGCTGGACCTGCCGTATGAGTTCATACAGTGGATGAAGCAGCGGGGAGACCCCACCAGGCGGATGTTGGACTTTCTGGTGGCACAACATGGGGGAGACTCATTACGTGTGCTGAGGGATGCACTTGCGGCGATCGGTCACGAGAGGGCGCAGCAGATGGTTGAAGCAATAATGATGGGAACCTCTCACCACGGGCCTGCGGGGCGGTGCAGTGCGGAACAGCAGCAGTGGTCGTCTGATGGACAACCGTTTGCCGGGATGTGGAACAACGACGACAGGGGACTATACAGTAACCACAACACGAAACCGAAACAGCTTAGCAGTTCTACAGCCTTTTTCTCACGGTCAAACGATTGCAGTGGAACCCTAGCTGCTCAGACACATCAGACATTTTCAGTTAACTCCACATCGTGCGGCAGTACAACAGTGGAGAAAGTGTGCGGAGACAGGTCACTGGGAGATGGACAAGAAGCGGACGCCTCCATGACTTCTACTCCTACCCTCTCCCCCGAAAACTCACCACACCCGACAGAAGAAAGCAACAACTCTATAACTGTGCCTAAGACTTTGAGAACCCAGGAGAGTGGGTATCACAGTGACGACAGGAGCCCTGGAGGTGAAACCAACTTAGCATTTACGATGGAGGACGAGACAGGGTGCAGTGAGAGAATGGAACCAAGACAGGAGGCATCAGTGAAGACGAGGCAGGAGGCAGAAGTAGTCGAGACGAGACAGGAGACAGATGACGTGAAGACGAGGCAGGAGGCTGGTTCCACGCCGCACGCCGGCGAGTCAACCACTGAAGAGAACAGCAGCAAAGTAAAGACGACTGACCAGGATGTCGAGGAAAATTCTTCTCCCCCTGAGAAAAACACAACCCCCTGGCCGCTGCTGATGAACCTGAAGAACAAAATGTCAATCCGATCCAAAAGTCTGCCCGACCTGCTATGGGGACAGAACAAAACTGATGCCGCAAAACAGGCTAACAAGAACATCTCCGAAGAACGCCTGTCACAAACAATGTGAACAGTTGTTGGTTGTGTCCCGGTTCGGACTATGATCAGTTTGACCAACTTTCTAGCATTTGCATTGTATACGTTCGTAGTTGCCTTACAAACAGGAATTACAGAATTTTCAGGGGTAACGTTTAGTACACTTTGTATATAAGATCAGTTGGTACGGTGAGGGCGTTTCTGATATAAACTTTATAAGCTGTTGCATCCTTGAAGTGTTTGAAAATAGGAAAAGAAATTTAGACGTAGGCTTGTTGATGAACCATTAGAAAATTGTCCCTCAATGTGAAGGGAGAATAATACATGTAATTTAAATATTTTGATAGAATTGTTTCGTGGTGATGTGGAATGATGTAAACTTTATGGATAGTATAGTGAAGGTTGTATCAGTGACATGGGACGCTGGCCCGCTCTGTGTACGTGACTGGAGAATTCTTTAATGCATCACTTTATTCATTATGTGAGACATCTCACGGATCTTTATTATCTTGTAATATTTCACCTACCGGAGTTCTCTGACATTGTGAGACTACAATACCTTTGTACAGTAACAGCGAGTTCTAGATTGTCATCAATTGATGTCACAGGCATACAAATAGCGTTATGTAAATGTAACAATGAAGACTATCACACAGTCGTAATTTGTATGTCGTGCCTTGTTGGTTCATTGCACCATATCGTACTAATAAACAGTAGTTGGTAACAGTGTATATCTGTGATGGTTATACTCATAGTCTTGTAGTTTGTTATTGACGCTGAGAGTCATGTAATCACCCATTTTCTACGAATGGACAAGACCTACAAATGTCACAGTCTATATGACCTTCCTTACGATAGAAGTAGAACTGTCTTGGTTAGTTACTTATCGAAGGGTTTAACTTTGGCAGTTTTATGTACACTTTCACTGTAAGGGCTTTTCCAGTCAACACAGCCAGGGGTGTTGGAGGGTTTGTATAGTGTTACTGCCACGTCACCACGGAAGTTAGACCGACCCCCCTCACCACAGCAGTGGGACTGACCCGGACGCTTCCATCCACAGGGGGTGTCAGTTTATCATCACTACCGAAACAAGACGCTATGGTCTCGTACTGACTACCTGTCTTACCCACTTTTCGTCTCGGACTGGGGTTTACAAAACTTTGGTAACGGCTTTTGAAGGACGTGTTCTCCGTGGCCTCGGTTCGCCGCTCCTGGTAGGCGTGCATCCTGAAGTGGAGGTTCTTCAGCCTGTGGTCGGTGTGGTACAGGGTGAAGGTCCGCACGGGAAACTGTGTCCGCCACACCGACTCCGTCGTCACTTGCTAAAGAGAAAAGTCAACGTTTATCATGAACCTACGTTTTGAATAATGGACAATATAGCTGACGTACTAGACAAGTGCAAGTGTGGCTTTAAGTCGCTAAACCAGTAGCCACCTACACGGCCTACATCTCATGACCAGAAACGACTAGTATGCTGTGTCACACCCACTTTCCAGTCTTTGCCCTATAGTTATCCTATCACCATAACCGGGTCCATTATGCACATTACCTGCTGGGTTAATCCCCGGAAGGCCCACCCTGGATCGGGGTCCTGTGCCTGTACAGAACAGCTATCACCAGGGTACATACAGCTCATGGACAGGCCGCCACACTGTCTCCGCCCGGCCTGGCCTTCCTGCTGGCGTATGCACTACAAGGAAACAAGACGTCCCTTTTAGTATAAGTAGGCAATCCGTGAGTATTCTCCGGTACAAAGGCACCATCGACTAGACCGGCAGGGGATTGGGGTAGGATGGGATACGACAGAATCAGGTTTAGAGGTAACTGTTACTGTTAACATGATTAATTATGAACGAACCTCTAAAGCATCCGCTGTGTCGTTGATACAGTACACTCGAATGTTGACATCTTCAAATGATCCTAAATGCGGCCCAAAAGCCACGAACCTCACGGTCTTTCCCGGTTCAGACCCCCGCACTATCGGCGCAAAGGACAGGATTTTGCTCATGTGAACGATGCACTTGTTCTTCAGGAAGCAGGCCCGGACATTTACGGCGTTTTGGTCGTCGTTTCCCGCGTCATGTGTGAGAAGACGCCATGATTTGTTTTGAACGGAGATGTCCTCACAGGCAAGAACAGCCGGTGTGCTCTGACTGTTCAGGAGTCCGCAGTGTTCGAACACTAATGTGGCGGGCTTCTGGAGCTGAACGCCTGACGGGCCACACAGCACCACGGGTCCGATCAGACTCTGGGCGGACTCAAGACGTGGACGATCCGAGGTGTCCCAGCTCACAGACAACAGGATGAGAAGCTGCTCGCCCTCGGGCACCGCCTTCGGTGGGATGAGAAGTTCTGCCCCGCAGCTGGGCAGCCGCAGCACCGCGCCCCTAGCATCCACCATCCGGGAGGTATAGCTGACCCCCTCCATACCCTGCACCGTCAGGCTACTCGTGAAAGACCTGTTGAAATTTTCGTCCGTACTATGGGTGGATTCTGGACTCATGGCGCCCGGGTTGGTAGCGTATCCAGTGTCCTTACTATTATCGGAGTGGCCGTCAGAGTCCTTCGTGTTGTCCCCTGTTTCCTGTCCGTCCAACTTGATCTGTTTGTTCAGTCCTTCGACCGCTTTACAAATGGAAGTGATATCCACAAGTTCACTGTCTCCGTCAGTCGTTGTAAGGTCTTCCGATTTAGTGGTAGTTTGGAGTTCCACGTTGTTTGATGACTCTGTTACAGACTTTGTCTCTGATGTTTCTCTTTCACTGCGGCTTCCTTCATCATTCATCCCTTCTTCTCCTCCCTGTCTTGTCACTGTACTGTCCATGAGAAGTGGATCAGGAGTACACAGCATGGCAGTAGGCGAGGCGTCGTCCACCACCGTCCCCTCTTCATCAGAATCCTGGGTGCAGGAAGAACAGGGCAATCATTGACAAAGAGAATGGTACTGAGCGATTACTTTTTTTTAACTTTGAAACTTTCCAAGATGCCAATTATTAGCAGAATGTTTGGTCTGGATCAACAATATTGGATACTTTAGATACTTAATTATGTCCGATAGCTGACATTACAACATTAATGTTGTAAGCAGCTAATCTTCCCGGACATTAAAACATACAAACATAAGACATACTATACAGATTTAATTGTTCTACTGTGAGGGATGTAGGATTGCCGCGTATCATTTATCTGTGCATGTGTACTCTGTGTGCTCTTAGCTAAACACCACAACTAGAAAACACCTGACTGGGCCACTTCCCCACAGAAAGTCCATACAGCGTGTTCGCTTAATCATCCAGTATCTCCAGCTCGTCATTATGCTGCACGTAGTCCTACAGAGCCTAACCATAGATCACATCTGCCGCAATGCGCAAGTCTACTTCGGGGTACTACTTCGTTGACTCCATATACAAGGAGATAATCAAATTCGATCGTCTACGTCTATAGTACCGCTCACATACACTGTAAGTCATACCAGATCACTTGTAGCCGACAGTAGGTAGATTTGTCAGCAATGATGGTAGGGAACCAAATATCGATTTCCAGTTCCCAACCACTCAGGTTGTCTTGATATTGACTGGGCGCCACAAGCTGAAGATGATATGATCACACCGTGTGACCCTCACCGTCCGCTACACTCTAATGTATCGACTATCTGGGGTGCGATAACTCTGTTTTCACTTGATTAAACCACTCTCCAAATAATCCAGCCTGGAATGGAAAGGGGTATTCTAATCCCCTGATACTTTATCTCATTCTTCAAAGACGTTATTGTTCTCTAAAGCCCCAGAAAATCATAAAATGTCTAACGTCGTTTCATTCAACAGGCGTTTTAGCCTCATCAGAAGAACATATGAACACCGGGGTTCTTTGTATTACCTAATTTCTTGTATGTATTCTAGATAAGTACGAGTAGTAGCAACTAAAATGGGAATTCGCCTGCGCATGCTTTCGTTGGTACAAACATGATAAGATACTTGTTTTTTCAATGTACAATGCAAAGTGCACGGAATGCTGCATTTTAGTGTTCTGTTGCTTGTCTACACAGGGTCATCAGTATCATACAAGAAATGGCTTCTTTTTTTTCTCACGGGGTATAAATGATGGCTAGATAATTTTTTAAAGCTTATTTCCCAGGAATGAGGGTATGGCGCCTACCTGTGACGGGACCCTGAGCGTCATTTTGACGTAATCGTCGGCGTCCTCGTCTACGTGCTGGAATGCCCGGATGTCCAGACGCAGGTGTTCCACCTCCAGCTGTTCCTTGGCCGTGAACTTGAAGATACAGAAGGGAGATGACTGGTGCCAGATGGACTTGTAGCTGATGACCTGAGGGCATTGAGAGACGGAAGTAAGGCGACATTACAAGCACGGGATTTTGTAATAGCTTACAACAATGGACCGCTTCTTTCCAATGTATTTGTTGTTGTTGTTGTTGTTTTGCATTTCATTTCATATTTCACTACACGTCATATCAAGAATATGATATCATTTCTTTTGATGTGTGCATCGTGTAAACGTGTGCATGATACTTTTTTGACACGTTAACACTGGCCAACTTCCTTATTTTTTCTAGAATTTCAGCAGGTGCGGTTCTTGTAATGTGGGAGCCGGAAGCCCGCGTCCACACATCTGGCCTCACAAAATTCCGAAGCGTGTTATACAGGACGTTTTATGCCGACACAATGAAGCAGCGCGGGACGCGAGCTCGTTATATTTCCGTCGTAATCCCTTTAATGGAACGTAACGTTAATATTGGCAATATTATTTGGGCACCGTTTCCACCGAAGACCTACCAGCACTGCTGATGAACTTTAATGAAAACGTCTATTTTTCTTGATATCTGTCATGTCTAATTCCTAGGGGATGTACGATTGTCCTTTCCAAAGTAAGGAGACTGTTGTTTCCATTTATGTGTGATTTCTCAGTCCGGTCACGTTTTCTGTATCACATGTGTTCTTTATTCATTGCTTGTTAGAGGACACAAATATGTGCGCGAGACTCAAAATTAAAGTTCAAAAGACTCAAGTGAGAACAAGGTTTCACAAAACAATTATCACGTTCTACCTCCCGAATTCCGGTAGATTGAAATGGAATAATAGACTACAGTTTCATACCCACCCCGGGGCCCAGCCTACATCGCCAAGGTTGATCATCTACTTGAATGAACTCTTTGACTGCTACTTCAACAATAAATCTGTCTTCATAATCATTTGTCACTTTCCTTTGTCTCTTTCAACCTGCCTGTTTGACATTGCGGGTTGCAGTATTGACACATGTATCGGTATTGGCCCATCGGGAGAGTTCCGAAACAACCGCACTTCACAAACGTGAAGACTGGAGATGTGAGGAAAGCTGCGGGGAGAGATGAGAGGATGTCCGTGG